GGGAATTTTTTTTTATTTGCAATATAGTGGGAATGTATATTATTATGATACATCCTCAGGCAATTTGACAATATATATGAAGAGTTTTAAAGTGACACAGAAATATAGTGCTTTAGGAATTTATATATACATAAATTTACACATACTAAAATATATAATATTTCAATTTATATATAAACCTAGTGATAAGATAGGTATGGGTAATTTAAAATCTTTCTTTTCTCTTTATCTGCATTTTTTGTGTAGGAATATATATTACATTCCTAATTAATATCTAATTTCTCAGTGCAATAAGTGCATTTGTGAAAAATTCTTACTTGTAGACCTCTAAGTTTATTTCATCATTTTGAATATCTTTATCCATTTCTTCTTTATTTTGTTCAGCCCTCAATTTGGCATTTTTGCAGTCTTCTTCAGCTGCTTCAAGTTCATCATGCACTTGATCAAATATTTCCGTTACCTGGAAATAAAAATATTTTTGCTAAAATATTAAATTAACCTAATGGTTAATTAAAAGGAAGACCTTTAACTAAGGGTAGTATTGATTTAGGTAAAAAGTCCTTTACACACATTTTCGTCCCATATTTAGTCTATTGTTTAGTAAACGGAGTTTCAGGTTTCTTTTACCTTGATAAGGCATCAATGCTGGGGTTGTATAAAACCTATTGAATAAAATAACTTCAGTATCCAAGTTAACATGTCCAAAATAAAGTCACTACCTTTTCATTCCAAAAAACCCTATTATTATTTATTGCTTTTATTGTTCAAATAATATTATGCTATACCAAAAAAAAAAAATCCAGAAAACAAAGATGAACAAATAAAATCGATAAAAATCACCCATACTCCCCTCAATCAATAATAACCATTATTATCTTAGAAGTTTGGTCTTCCAGCTGTCCCCTGCCGACAACACACCCAAATCTATTATCAGGGAAAAACACTAAAACAATAAAAGAATACCAATTTAAACACCTATGGACACATTTTTAATGAATGACAATAAAAATGTTGATAAAATTGTGAGTTATGGCAGTAGAACTGAGTTTGGCTGTAACAGAAATAAGTCAAATAAGTTGCTTAAAGAAGATTGCTTTTCTCTTACAGAAATGGATCCAACTCTCCTTTGCCTTTCTATTCAGCCATCTTGAGTACAATTAATAGCTTCCATTCTTAAGTTGTTTCATGCTATAAAATGGAAATGAGAGCTACAGTTATAACATCCAGTTTGCTGTAAATTTAGAAAATGGCTAATTACAAAAGGGTGCTACTTCTGGCTGAGTCAGTCCATTTCAATGAACTTTTCTAGAAGTCCTAGCCAAGAACTCTACCAACATCTCATTAGAAATACCATGAGAAAAGGGAAACTGGGAAATAAATTTAGCCAAACACATTGCCATTCAACTATATAGGGGTCTCTTAATTAAAAGGATAATACTAGTATTATTGTTCAGAGTGGAGAAATGAGATTTCTTCAGCATTGCTACTACTCCAGTAATATAAATTGTTAGAGGCACTTTAGAGAGTAATTTAGTATTATCTAATAAAATTAAAAATGCATATAACCCATGACCCAGTAAATACTCCACTAGGTATATATCCACGGAAAATTCACATGCATATAGACAGGAATGTGTTCCTGGGTGATTATTGTTTATAGTCAAATCACCACTTTTGTTGCCAAATATTGAAAACAATTGAGATGACCAAGGGAAGAGAAAATGGGAAATAATAAAATTGTGAGATATCTATTTGATGGAACATAGCAAGCAAAATGAATGAACTAGATTTATAGGCATCAACAGTAGCTTGATTAAACT